CCTGTTGGTTGGGAAGTTTGGGTTAATTTTAAGTTCATTGTTCATGATCAGATCTCTGACAAGTATTTGGTCATTCAAGGTACATGACTTTTTTCATTGTAACACACAAACAGCACAGATTAGTGGATTCTTGTGGAGGAAAAGCAGAAGATAGATCATTTTATATCAATCATCAGTTCAATGGTCAAATTTCTTGTTTCTTTTTGTTTTTTTAAACAGATGCTCATAATCAGTTAAAGCGATTTAGTTCAGCAAAGAGTGAATATGGATTTGATGAGCTGCTTTGTTTGGATGTATTCAAAGATGTTAATAATGGATATCTTGTTGACGATTGCTGTGCATTTGGGGCTGAGGTCTTCGTGGTCGAATGTTCTCCTCAAACGTTATGTGTTTCCACACTATTAAAGACTCCAGCATATGCTACATATACTTGGAAGATAAACAACTTCTCAAAAATTGGGACAGAATTTTGTTGTTCTGAATCTTTCACTGTTGGAGGAAAACAATGGTAAGTGATTTCGATATTTTCTTTTTTAATTTTGAATATGTATTTATAAAGTTTTTTTTCCCCTTTTGGGTTTCTCTCTTGAAGGTTGTTGAAAGTTTATCCCAAAGGAGTTAAGGGGGACAGCAATGGTGGTGACGGTAATGGTTTTCTATCCATTTTTCTTGTTTTAAACGAACCTGAGATGTCAGACAATGAGTATTATGCCGAGTTCACGTTGCGCGTTAAGGATCAGTTATCTACGTTGAGAAATTTGAATGTGAATGGTAAGGTTCAGATCAATTAAAAGTTGATGATTGCGCACATTTTTATATTGGTGTTGAAATTCAGTTTAAGTTGATGTTATAGACGACATTAGATTAGTTATCCACATGACCTGGAAAGTACCCGGTTACACGTGGATGTGGATTTTTTGTATCCTTGATCACCCTCCATCTATTAGATAAATAGTGGGTTTAAATGGAGGACCATACTAAACCTTATTTGATGTTACACTTTCTATTTGAAAATTAAGTAACAGGTAACCAAAGCTCATTCTATCTAAACCGTCCAGCTGAACGGTTTAGGAGTGAACAAAATTATTTTTCAATAAAGTGATAGTTAATAGCTTATTTTTATTTTATATTATGTACCCATTAAAATAATTATTTTAAAAAAATTATATTTGGACTGTTTAGATCATATCTGGACCGGTTCTGGGAATTCATGGATTTCTTTTTTCTTTTTTTTCACTTTGAAAGAAAATCAGTAAGTGTGTGTAGTAGTTTTATCCATATCCTAAATTTTGGTTGTTGCAGGGGATAAGATCTTCAATGACTTGGAGGATTCATGGGGATTAAGGGACTTCATGACGCTGAAGGATCTCAAAGATACGACGAAGGGATACTACGTGAATGACACTGTCATTATTGAATGCCAGATTTCATTCTTAGTTGAGTTTAAAGATTTAGAAGAATGAAGAGTGATATGTGATTGCTGATGATGATACATGAAGCGCATTTTGTCACTTTTTTTTTAATTATTTCAATGGATCAGATGAGTTTGCTGATAGGGTTTTGTGATTATTGTGACACTAAATGGAATGCTCTGATCGTTATCAGTCTTAATTGGGTTTCAATTATTTGGAAGCGAATTGGAAAAGATTAATGGGTCCTTCCCTATTTGCATTGCCAATACAAATTGTTTTTACCTTAACAATTTTACTTATAATTAAGATGCTACATCCCTTTCAGATATAAGTTTTTTACGTGTTTCAATATATGATGGGTGTCCATTTAGTGTATTTCCATTAAGTGTGAAACCAAACTATTTCTTTTGTAGGTGTCCGTGTCAGGTGGGAACCAATTTCGTTGCTCATTACTTTGATAAGCACCATAAGTCCATCAAATCTGGACCGTCTATATCTCATTTGGATGGTCCAAATCTGATTTCTTTTTTATTTTATTTATTCAAAATAATTATTTTAATATGTATATAATCTAAAATAGTGATAATCTCTTAACTATCATTCTTTCAAAAAATAGTTTTTTTATTTAAAAATAATTAATTAAAGAAATCAAATCTTGACCATCTAAATAAAATATAAAGGTCTAAATTTGATGAGCTTAGAGTGCTCATCAAAACAAGCTTAGGTGATTAATTAGAAGATACTTGTAATGGGAAGTAGTAGCTCGACGTTGGTTGAAAATAAAGTCTATGCATTCTACATGAGGTAAGATCATAAGTATTAACGAAATTACCCCTTTTTCCTATATAATCATAATTATATCAGATCATTTCTACTGCCTCTTAGTGGCCATCTTTATCATTAATTATCTTTCCCTATAATTTTTATCGTTCTCTTTGCCCTTTTTTTTTTTGGCTCTTTTGTTCGTTTCTCGTGCTTGCTGCTGAAATCCAATTCTGGTTGCTGAGTTGGAATTTGGAAACCCCATGCCAGAGCACATTCCATGCTCATCACAATTTGGACGATCCAGATCAATTTTAGATGGTTCAGATTGAATTTAAATTTTTTATATATTTTAATCAACTTTTTGTTTTAATAGAGACAGGATTTAAAATAAATATAATATCATAACTAACATGTTTTTTAAAAATAAATTTATCGTTGCAAAATTGTATATTAAAAATTTAAATCTAAACCATCCATATTATATTTTGGATAGTTTAAATTGCACAGTACTGAACAAAGAACCCCACATGCAATGGTGCTAAGTAATATTTCTTTGCCACGTAGGATAATGAGTGGCTCAAATTAAATTATATGCATAGGATGAAGATGCAATTCCGCCAAAACTTAAAGGATGAAATTATTAAATGTGAAAGGATTAGCAACTGAGTTTTGGTAGAGTTGTAAATGAGTTAAAACTTATACAATCAAAACATTAATTTTTTTCTCTTTTTTTCCCAAAAATATAATCTTCTCACAAACTAGGCAACCTGCGCACGCCTGTTTAGTTTATAAATAAATAAATATATATATATAGAGAGAGAAAGAGGAAAACTAATTCATACTCTTTTGTTCCTGTTTATAAGGCATAGAGAAATTTCTTCTTGTTTCAATTTGTAAATCATATCATTAAATATTTAATATAAATATACTATTTTATCATTTATTTATTGTCATGTAGACTGCTATCATATTCTTAAAAAAATATGTATATCAAACAGAGATAAAATTGTAAATTTGTTAAATTTTAAAGAAGAGTCAATGATATTAAATTTTCTCTTAATTTTGGTGAAACATGTTAAAAATTACTTATTGATAGAATTAAAGGATTAGAATGCATTGTATGGAATTAAGATAATTAAAGAGACTTCGGTGCCATAACGTATGAGATATATTCACATGCTCATCGACAAGTGCAATGAACATTCTTAAAAATTAAAGTTACCATGTTGAGGGGAAGGTTTTGGTTCTGAATGTATTTGTAATAGCCTATTTAATATTTGTTTTTTAATTTTATTCTTATTTTTTTATCAGAGAATTTTATTCTTATCAAAAAGGGTTTATAATGTAAAGAAAGAACTTCTTTTTTTTTTTTTTTGTAAGAAAAAGTTTAGGTGATTTGAGTTTCGGGGGCTCACTAGGGTTAGGGCATGCCTCCAGGCTCAAAGAGCTCTTATAGAAGTACTTACAGATCGCCCACCAACAAGGTCCTCATATCGGCAGCAGGATTGTAAAAAGAGAACTTTAATAAGGATAAAATTAAAATTGTTGGTTAATTTAACGCACGTTTTGGTCTGTGAGAATGTATTACAAGACAAACTTGTAATTGTTTCAAAGATATAGATATAACAAAATAACTTACACGCGGAATTTGCGCACCCATTTGAAAATAGGAACTCTCATGTTTGGCATTATTCTTTTTTGGGAAAATTGGAAAATCCCCATTTGAAAAATTAATTCTAGAATAGGACCTGAACTTTTGAGGTCCTTTTAAAAAATTAAAAAGGAAAAAAATTATCACAATACTCTTAATGAAATGCAATTAGGATCAAGCATATACAACTAGGGATCAAAGATATGCAATTAAGATCAGCGATATGCAGTTAGGTTCTATATGCAACTAAGCGTATGTAATATGCAATTTGGATCAAACATATATAATTTGGGATCAAGTATATATAATTTATCACAATACTCTTAATGAAATGCAATTAGGATCAAGCATATACAACTAGAGATCAAAGATATGTAATTAAGATAAGTGACATGCAACTAGACATCCTCAATATGCAATTAGGATCAAGTATATATAATTTGGGATCAAGGATATGCACTTAATTAAGATAAGTGATATGTAATTAAGTACGATATACAGCTAGGCATATAGAATATGCAGTTAGGATCAAGCATAAGCAACTGGAGATTAATAATATATAATGAGGATTAGTGATATGTAATTAAGTCGTATATGCAATTGGGTATCCTCAATATGCAATTAGGATTAAGTATATGTAACTTGGGATTAAGAATATGCAATTAGATCATACATGCAACCAGGCATCCTCAATATATGCAATTAAGATCAACTATATGCAACTTGAAATCAAAGATATACAACTCAGGTTATTTGGTCTTTTTACCCTACAAACTTATTGTCATTTAAAGTTAGGTCCCATTCTACAATTAACTTTTTAAATGGGGATTTATCTCTAATTTTACCCTCTTTTTTGTTTTTTTTACCAGAACATGTTTACCATTATTTGAAACAATAAATTATAACAGTAGTGGAGAACCTCTACAATAACATCATCATTTCTCGAAAATCTCTAAATATGTAAGAAACAATGCACATCTTTAATTCTTTTACACGTATAACTAAGGGACTTTTTGTGCCTCATTACTTCTCACTGTAATCTGAATATTGCAACTCACGAAAAGACGTCTAGTGGCTCAATCAATGTATCTGTAAGTATATATTGGAAGACGTATTATTTATGCGTGCATCAAGAGACAAGCACAGGGAGTGCCTTAATTGCCGACTTCGAAATGAGGTGGAGCAAGGTGACAGCGAAGAGAAGGAAGGATACCAGCCATGAGATATTCCAAATGGAAGAAAATCAGTATGTTACGTCTGAGATTAGCAATGGTAAATGTCCGTACCTTGATGCTGACAAAGTTTGTGTTTCAAACATCACAGAAGGCAACGAAATACATCTGCTTTTGTTGTTGTGCAGGAATCATACGATATCACAGAGAGCTTCCACCATCTCAGCATTTGCTTCAAATAAACTCATATTCTTCACTGTCAGCTAGTAAGCTTGATGAACAACTTAAATCTGGTGTATTTGAATCTGGTGGTTACAACTGGTAAATAATGTCACTGACTCTTTAGTTTTCGCGATGATTATATATTTATCCTTGTACCTAAATCCTTGTATATAATTCTTCAGGAGGATGATTGTGTATCTTCGTGGACATAGTGAAGCCAACAAGGATAAATATATCTCACTGTACTTGGCAGTAGCAGAAACCCAAGATGATGAACTCCCTGTTGGTTGGGAAGTTTGGGTTAATTTTAATTTGTTTGTTCATGATCAGACCAATGATAAGTACTTGGTCGTTCAAGGTATTTCAATTGTTTTTTTCCCCCCAAATTTTATACATTGAAATATTACATAGTAGAGAATTAGGTTTATATTCCTAAATCCATAATAACAGGCGAGTGTTATATCATTAATTGATAAAATTTTTGTTACTACAGGCTCTCAAAATAGGTTGAAGCGTTTTTGTTCGGCTAAAAGTGAATGGGGATTTGATGAATTTCTTTCAATGGACTCATTTAAAGATACAAAAAATGGCTATCTTGTGGATGATTCTTGCACGTTTGGAGCTGAGGTCTTTGTAGCCAAATGTTCTGGAAAAAGGGAATGTGTTTCCACAGTCTTAAAGCCTCCATCATATGAGACTTACATATGGAAGTTAGAGAACTTTTCACAAATTAAGACTGATTTTTGTTATTCTGAGTCTTTTACTGCTGGAGGCACAAAATGGTAAGTATAACTAAAGTTTTCATTATTTTCTTTGCGTTCTTATTTTACTTTTTCGCTATATGTACTATATATATATATGCATCAATTAGTTTTGCCTGTGCTTTAATCTGAAGGAAGCTGAAGTTTTATCCGAAAGGTGATAAGGGTGGCAGAAATGGGTTTGTGTCTATTTTTCTGGTTTTGGATGAAACTCAAATATCGGAGAAGTGGTATGCTGAATCCACATTACGAGTCAGGAATCAACTATCTACACTGAGAAATAGGGTAGCGAATGGTAGGTTTCATTGTTTTATACATGAATGATGTATGTATTAGACAAGCTTTGAAGTCTTTATAAATTTGAGTGTATATATAATTAGGTTTTTTTCCCTTCTTTTTGCAGGTGGAAAGTGGTTTAGGTATTGGTTCAGTTACTGGGGATTAAGTGAGTTCATATCGGTGCAGGAACTTAAAGATACAACAAAAGGCTTCTGTGTGAATGATACTGTCATTATTGAATGCCAGATTTCACTCATAATCCAAGCTCAACTTCATGAAGATTGATAACTGATTTCACAAAGACTCGATTTTTTGTGTTTGTGTTGGTGCATTTTTATACTTTTCATCTTTGAAAAGAATTGGGAAATTAAAAGCTCCTCTTTGTCTGGTTTTATTTAGTCATTATAAAATATATTAATCAGAACTATTTTGTTTTTTTTTAGTGTTGTTATTCTGACGTAAGTTTCACTCTTCAGCGCGTTGTGTTTCAGCATAATTAAAGCTATCCAGAAATTAATTCCTATACAAGGACTAGTCAAATTATTGAACTGAAAAATAATTGAAGAAAATAAGAATTTCTTGGAAAAAAAGGGGGGTTTTCTTGATAATTTTAAAAAAGAAAAATTAAATAAAGTTAGTGAACATTTTGTGAGAAAATAAACTTAAATGCAAACCTCAGTATTTAAAATAATTTCTACATGTTGCTTATGTTAAATCATGGATAATGTCAGTAAGAAAAGCCACCAATCACCATTTAATAATACACAAGCTCGTACGTTTAAAATAAAAAGAAATATTTCCATCAATACAGAGACCATTTTAATTCATGAAGGTATTGAATTGTTACTCTACTAAATATAATTAAGAATGATGAATTGAGAATTCACATAGCAATGAAAGAACATCAAGAAAGATGGTCCGATTTTTATTTTTTGTCATAACAATTTTTTAATTTTTCACAATACTTAATAAAAACACATTTTCAATTACATTTTTTTAATCATTTTCTTTTGTTTCATTTTTTTGTAACTTTTGTCTAAAATCACAGCTCTCAGCCCATCCTTCTTTCATCAGCAAATCACTCTTTTTCTTCCCTTTTTTTTTTATTTTCTATTTTTTCTTCTTCTTCTTCTTTATAGAGAAATTATGGATAGAGATAACAAAATTTACCTCAATCAAAGATACAACTAACCGAAAACCATAAAGTTACGAACTCTGGTCAAGCAGCTAATTTTGATAAAGTACTCAGAAATAGAGTTACATTATCTCTATAAATAAAAATAAAACAAAAATCACATCCCAATCTGTACCAATTAAGCTGATTTTGTAACCATAATTCGCGCGCACACACGGACGCAGATATATACATATATATATATATATATATATCTATGGCGGCGATCGAGTACGAATTAAGCAGCCGTATTAAACTCCCTCCCTTTCTCCTGCTCAATAGAGGAATATATAACGAAAACTTAACAAATGACTGAAATAGCTGATCCGACTTCGAGATAAACTAGCTTCACGGTCATATATGAAGTCACGCTTTTATGCACAACAACAATAAAGAGATAAGGGATATGCATATTAATTGAAGGTACTTATCTTCTTCTTCTTCTTCTTCTTCTTGGAGTCAGATACAATGAACATTCTTAAATATTTACACAGTTTTACAGATAAAATACCTTACACATTCCTAATTCCTAGATACCCTTAAATATAACAATACATGGAATCTTTACTCCTTTGAAATCGGGAATTTTCAGATGCACGCTTGCCATCATTGAAACTTTGAAACTTTGAATGATAAAAGAAGTGCAGATCGTCGGGACTTAATTATCCCTTAAATATCTCTATCTCTAATCTCTAATCTCTAATCTCTAAATATGAGTAAAACACATGTACATGTCTAATTAATTAGTTTCCACAGGTCACGAAAAGACATCTTGTGCCTCTTAGTGGACACCATTAGTCATTATCTTTAACTCTCACTATAATCTATTTTTTGATCTTGTCTATGTGTGTGTGTATATATAGACACCGTTTAAACACATTTCAAAAAGTGCGTGGACGTAAGGGCTTTTCAGACTTCCAAATGAGGCAGGCCACAAAGAAAAGGAAGGAGGTGAACGAAGAAGCAGTGGTCAACGACGTTGAGGGAAATGAGTCAGGTACTACAATTTGCAAGGGTAAGTAATAATGTGTACTTTCAATGCTGAGTTTGCATTATTTCAAGTATCCTTCAAGGTAAACGTAAAACATGGTCTGAATTTGTGAAGGAATCATAAGATATCATAGAGGGTGTCGACCAGCTCACTACATGCTTCAGATTCAGTCATATTCAGTACTGGCGGCCAGTAAGGTTGAACGATATGAATCTGATGTATTTCAAGCTGGGGTTTATAATTGGTAAATAACGTCATATTTCACTCTTCACTTCAATATCTGCATTAATATGTTTATTGTTTACCTAATTTTTCACAGAATCTTTGTGTTTTCGTCAGGAGGATGATTTTGTATCTTCATGGAAAGAGGGAAGCCAACAAGGATCGTCATATCTCTCTGTACTTAGAGTTCGCTGAATCACAAAATGAACTCCCAGTTGATTGGGAAGTCTGGGCTCATTTTAAATTCTTTATACATGATCAGATAAATGACAAGTACATGGTCATTCAAGGTATTCACACACACACACACACACACACATATATCTGTTATAGAGCAGTAACATATTTATTTTATTTCATCACTGGATCAATATGATCAAGTTTCTTTTCTTTCCTTTTTTACAGATGCTCAGAATCAGTTGGAAAGATTTTGTTCAGACAAGACTGAGTGTGGTTTTGATGAATTGCTTTTGCTGGATGCATTCAGAGACCCTAATAATGGATTTCTTATTGGTGATTCATGTGCATTTGGGGCTGAGATTTTCGTAGCAGAATGTTCTGCTAAAAGGGAATGTGTTTCCACAATTTTAAAGCCTCCAGAAAATGGTACTTATACATGGAAATTAAACAGCTTCTCACAAATTAAGGCGGGTCATTGTAATTTTTGTAACTCTGAATCTTTCACTGTTGGAGGGAAAAAATGGTAAGCGATTTCATTATTTGCTTAACTTGTTTTGTGATTGAGTTTTGAATATAATAAATTTATAATAATGTGCTTGTTGCTGCTTCTGTGTTGAAGGTTGTTGAGAGTTTATCCTAAAGGTGCAAAGGGTTGCAGTGATGAATATCTCTCCATTTTTCTTGTTTTCAATGAACGTGGGGGGATGTCAGAAAAGAGGTGTTATGCTGAGTTCACACTGCGTGTTAAGAATCAGTTAACTACATTGAGAAATTTTACAGTGAATGGTAATTTTATGCTGATAATTTACATTTTGATTGGTGTTAAATTTGAGTTAAAAATGTTTTGTAGGTATCTTTTCCCCTTAAAAGTTTTCGTTGTTGTGCAGGTGAGAAGTGGTTCAGTGGGAGGGACAATTCATGGGGATCAAACGACTTCATGAAGCTTAAGGATCTTAAAGATACAAAGAAGGGGTACTATGTGAACGACACTGTCATTATTGAATGTCAGATTTGATTCATGAGCGAAGCTGAACTTTTAGAAGAATGAAAAAGTGATATGGGTGGTCGCTGACCAAGTCAATGTTTGTCGTGTGTTTTGAGAACTGGAAATTCAGATTTTAATTTTGTATCATTTTGTCTAGTTTGTTTAGTAGTGTTACATATATAGCCATGCAAAGTTGATCAATTATCGATGATAAATCAATTTTGATGACTTCTCAATTTTTGTTATGATGCCGTTTTTAATATCCAGACCATGAATTTTTCTTATGCAGTGGGGTTTGATTAGAATTTTGAATTTTGAAATTGTCTCCGTTGTGGACTCTCCCTTTCATTTTAGAGTGTCTGTATTTTCTCTTTTTTCAGATCAGACACAATCAATTTGATTCTTGACCGCCAAAAATAATTTCTGATATAGTGATTCAAATCATGGCTAATTCAACTGTAATTAAAATGATATTTGCCTTTTTGATATTTGGATAAAAAAAGATAGTCATGAATAAACCGTATATAATCCAACAAAATAAAATTATTAAAGCATGAGTTTAATGGGCTGGTGTTTTTTCCCCTTAGTTTATTAACTCAAAAGAATGTTATTTCTTTGTAAGAAAAGCTCGAAACTTTTGATTGGCGTGATTAGGGACTGGTTTGTGTTCACAATCTAAATCCATCAATGTGGGTTGAAGTAGTAAGATTTATTCTCATTTTGAGAAAATTATAGGACAATTCTATGGCCCTCTTTGGTTCTAAGAATTGATTAGAATGGAAATAAATGAAAAAAAATTGAAAGAAAGGGGATGAAAAATGTTCAGCCGAGTAAACGTTTAGTTCGTATTGAAATTAAAAATAAATTCAATAAAAAAAATTTATATTTAGTTAGATGGAAAGACGTTAGAAAATTGAGTTATTTTACCAATATTACCTTTAATGGAAGAATATAATATTATTAAATAAAAATGTCTTTTTTGACAAAAAGACAAAAGGATATAAATAAAAAAAATGCTTTTTAACCTCACACAACAATAATAATATTTAAAAAATTCATTAAATTATAATTTAAATTAATAACATGAATATTCAATATAAATACAAAAATCACTACAAGTATTAAATGATTAAAAAATAAATAAATAAAAATTAAATAACAAAGTGTAAATAAAATATATTGAAGAAAACAAAATACACAATTTGAATATGCAAAACAAAGAGATCATCTAAAGATTATACATTCTGATTTTTGGTTTGTGGGAATCATAATGTTTTTCAATTCCTTGTTTATGTTTTTATTAATTGAGCATTTTTGTTGTAGACGAAAATTATGTAATATAGTTTAAGCTGATCACATTTTGTCTTTAAATCGTAAGATGTAATATAACAAGGAGAGAACATATCTTTCTTAATTTAAATACAAATTAAGCAAATGACATATCATTTAAAAACTATCTAAGCCTGGTTTTTAATGTAACAAGACCCATTCGATTTTTTTTTTTTTTTTTCAAAGTTACATCGGGAGAAATTTAAGCTTTGGGTCTGATTCTAGCAAGTAATAACCTAATAACCAAAGTAAATTAATAATCAATTCTAGCAATTCATATTGTGGAATATAAATATACAGCACGTCACCATACTCTTGTTACTCTTGTGACTACTTTCCCATGATAACGCAAATCAACTTTTCATGTATAAAATGTAAAAACACAGCCCCTTGTCTTGCATACTATACCACATGTAATAACATCTCACAAAACATGGTTACTGTATAGTTGCAATGCTGCTCGCCCAAGTCATTATAGCTTGGCCTCAACGATGGCTAAACAGGCTATCACAATTTCAAAGCACAAATTTTTAAACTCTTAATCATCTACAAATTTTTTTTTTGGCCAACATTCAACTTGAATTTCCAAATCAATTCAAATATCATGACTATGGGATCAAACTTGCGACCTCCCACTTACAAGTCACACCATTGAGTTACAAGGCAATAGGCAAACCACAGACTTCAACACGAACGCATTCGGCTTTGACATTTTTCATTCCAGATTTGTACACTGTAATTTTTCAGATCAGTTTTTCTTAAGAAATTTGTCAGATGAGTATTACCGACCTCAAATCGGAAATGCTGGCTAGTTGATTAGGTGAACCAGATTGTGCTACTGACATGGTCAAGTTTAATCTGATTCCTGTATATTTTAGAAGTTCATAGTTTGATTATTTTTATTCCAATAGTTGGTATGTGCAGTAAGCCAGTAACTAAAGGATTCCTTAATGAGCTGGTGTACGTAATGAAGCTCCAGTTTTTGTGTTAATAATGCAAGTAAAAAAAAAAGGGTTTGTACCCCAAATTATAGCACTATTTATAAAAAATTAAATCACATTTACCTTGCACATTCAAAATTCATGCTAATATGACGAGCAGTTTAATGGCTTGCTCTTCATTATCAGACTCTTCCAAGTTATTCCCCGCTGATAAGCGTTTGGGAAGCAACCTCTTCTCAAAAATTAGAGTATGAAGGTCATCCTCAGAAAGCCTACAGTTTCATTTTATATGTATAACTTTTAAACATCGACGTTCAGGGAGAGTGAAAATTCCCATAGCAATAGAATATTAGAGTGCAATCAAAGAACACGGTAAGAACATTAGAGCAAATGGATCCGTGTTGTACCTATGATGCAACACCTTCAGCTGAAGACCTCATAAAATTTCTCAATGACAAGTAATCCTGAGTCAATTGATTCCAAGGGATCCTTCCGAAGACGGTGTCTCAAGCAGTTGGGGATGACAGTAGCAATATCTTCTGCACTTACTTTGTCTCTTCCCTTGAGAGCAGCCAAAGCTTTTGCAGCTCTATTTGTCACTATGTCTCCTCTTAATCCGTCCACGTTAAGCTCAGCACACACTTCAGAGATTTTTACCTTGAGATCTTGATCAATTTGGACAGAAGGAAGATGACTCCTTGCTAGGGCTATTTGGTTCTGCAGCTTCTCCTGCTCTGCTTTATAGGAATCTCGAAATTCCTGTGGGTTTTTGTCAAATCGAGCTCTCTCCTCCACAATCTTAACTCTTAGCTCAGCATCCTTTACAGTCCCCACTTGAGCATGCATTCCAAATCTATCAAGCAACTGTGGCCTAAGCTCCCCTTCTTCTGGGTTGCCTGAGCCAATCAAAATAAACCGAGCAGGATGTGAGATTGAAATACCCTCTCTTTCCACCGTGTTCCAACCAGATGCGGCAGAATCCAATAAGACATCCACTAAGTGATCGTCTAAAAGATTAACTTCATCAACATAGAGGATTCCCCTGTTCGCTTTGGCTAGTAGACCAGGCTCAAATGCCTTGACACCTTCAGTCAAGGCTTTTTCAATGTCAATTGTTCCACAGACTCTATCCTCTGTTGCGCCTAAAGGCAAATCAACCATGTTAATTTTGGTCATGACAACCTGAAGTTGATCTCCTCTCATAACACGCTCTCTCACTTCAATACCCATGAACTCTGGATCTTCTGGATCTGAATTATATGGATCACCAGCAACAACTTTAATTTCAGGAAGCAAATCAACCAATGACCTTACTGTCGTGGACTTCCCAGTTCCTCTGTCACCCATGATCATTACACCTCCAATCTTGGGATCAATCACATTAAGGAGAAGGCAAAGCTTCATCTCATCCTGTCCAACTATAGCAGAAAATGGATACACAGGTCTCTGGCTATCTTCATAAACAATCTTCTGAACCTGAAAGCAATAAGTTCATATAGTTCTTCTCATGTGACTAAAGGCATACACAGAGGGACGGGGAGGTATATAGGTACACAGCCCTATAGATAACATAAGAAACAAGAAACCAATCTTCTAAGCCTGAAAACAGTAAGTAGACAGATTTCACATGTAATTAAAAACATCCATTCAAAAGGAAAAGTGAAAAGGTCAAGATTCAATCATATATCATGCAATCATGATTTGGAAAAATTAAAAAGGTTAAAAAAAAAAAAAACTCGTGTTGGACAAAACCTTCTACATCTCCCCAACAACATCTACATCTACAACTACAACTACACGATTTCTTATGGATGCTGAAATGAAATATAGAATCCTCAATAGTCCAAAATTTTATCTTCAACATATTTGCTTAGTTGCAATTGTGGATTTTCATCGAGTTTCAATTCATTGGTACTGGAGTCTCAAAGGCTAAAGGATCTGAATTTAAAACTAACCCAAGAAAACTATTGATCTGCAATGAGCCAATTAAAGCCTCTGTTACAAACAAAGACCAAAGATCAACTATTGATGTTCAAGGAGTGCGAAGTGCTGTACACTCAATCAACAAGACCTACCATGGAAAGATAAACTAAACCATGATTAAAGGTGAATTGCATCGCTTTGACAGGAAGCACTCATTAATATATAAATGGCAGTAGCACCAAAAACTAGCACAATGGAAGGCCATATGGTACAGAACTCTTTTTAATAAGTGCTCCCCCCAAAAAAGAGAACATTCAGATGACTCATAGGTCTCATGTTGATAACCTCTGCAAGGACAAACGTTTCTTTAAATATGAAGGAATTATAGAAGATTAAATTACCTTTGAAGATGATCCGCAGGGCATGGAAGCTATTTAAAAAAACGAAGTTTCAACTTGAGAAATGCTGGCTGAACATCATTTAAATACTAGCAGTTGCGGAGAATATGTGTCAATAGCTATAGCTATTTCCTATATTATTTATCAAATAAACAAACAAATATCTAAATGAAGTCTTTCTAACAAACACCCTGCGTGCTGAATTTTTTCCACCCGCTAAGAGCCAGACCCCATTATTTTAGTCTAACATTTATTTCGTCCCGATGAATGTCCAACAAAATGCTGGCAGCAGAAGAATGAACAAAAAGAGATCACTAATCTCAGAAATGAATATTCTTGCCTACCTGTTGTTCTACAGAGATCACTTCAGTAGCAACACTTGCAACTGAGAACTGAGATCTTCTCTTTATGCCATGAATTCCAAATCCACCATAAAACTTCGGTCCACAATTTTGCCCTGCAAAGCAAAGCGACAAACACTCGAGATTGTCAATAAACTACATGATATCTGTTAGCAACACCATCGACCCTAAACTACAAACCCTAACAAGTAGCAATCCCATAAAAGTTTCAAACTTTTGGCGCAAACAGCTCCCTATTGGCCTGGACGCAAATACATTCCAAACAGAAATAGTATGGAGTGAAGTGTGAATTTTGATATGGAATGAGTATTGCGTACCTGGTAAAGAGAGGGAATAAAGCAAATGCTTGTGAGAAGGAGAACAAAGGTAACGGGGCGAGGTAGCAATGGAAGAATTGCCCAACATGGATGCCATTACCCGGAAAGGAGTATCAGTGCCTGGCGGTAGCGAAGTGTGTTTTCTTCAGTCACAGTTTGCCATGATCTCCATTCGACTCGGACAAAGGATTGGACTCATAGGCTGTGTACTGTGGATAAAATCTCTGAATTGTCGCTTCTGTCAAGTCAATTTGTTTGGCAAAGGATTTTTACCTTCTGTTGCCTCCTCCGAGTAAGTAATTTAAATAGATTAAAAAAATTAAATTAATTATTTATAATAAATATATATTATCTTTTATAAAATATTTTTATTAATTAAATATATTAGTTAAAACTATCATTATTAGAAAAATTATTTTAAAAAAAATTATATAAATACTAAAGACAAAATAAATATAAAATAAAAATCAGAAAAAAATAATTATCATTATTAGAAAGATCGAACATGGTTGCTATGTAGACGTGGACAAGATGATGATGTCAGGATGCCAGCATGGCGAATGATGAGGATGAGGATGCTGCCTCTTCTACCAATGCGGACAACGTGGCATGGTTATTACTTGGGAGGAAAATTACAATAAAATCAGAAAAAAATAATTATTAAAAAATTTAAATGACAACTAAACAAGTTCCATAATAGAAAATAATATTTTGGCCAAAAAAATAATAGAAAATAATAACTTTTAAAATTTATTTTGTAATTATTTTTTTTAGACCTCCTTATAATTCTTCCTTAACTGGGGACAAGTTAGGATGATGATGTGTTTGAACTGCATATGTGTACAGTGGGGTAGTGGATGACATGCCAGGATGATGCCAGCCACGTGGTTTGATGACATGGATGATGACTGAGTTAGGGAAAATGTTGTGACTGTTGGGTCAAAAACCGACTAAGGAATATAAGGTTGGAAACCAAGCACTTTTTAAGAGTTTTTTTTTCTTTTCCAATTTTTCAACCAAAACCTCCTGGGATGATGACGGCAACATTGCTGACTGTATCACTAATGTTGATGACATCATGGCAGCCACATGGTCAGTGACCTAAAAGATGACTCAGCCGACAATGATGATGTGGCTGCTGAGTTGGACCCACTGGTGGTATCATTTGCGTTTTTGTTCAATCGAGATCTGGAAGGTTGCCAACGGACGTCGCCAGCAAAATTACAGAAGTCGATGGATTTGAGAGCGGGAAACATGAAAGCGCGAAGCATGGAATGACGTTATTGTTTGCAGGTATTCATCAATTCCCACGGCGTTCACACTATTTGATCACCCAATGGCATGTGATTTTCTCAATTTTGATCCGTCTTTCTTTATGCCTTTTCATTGACTTCCATTACCAAATTGGCTTATCATAGAAGGATGAAAATTTTCTCAGCTGAATATTCCTTCACTTATATTACTTTCATATTATTTTAAGTTATGATCTATTTAGGCTGTGTTTGTGATCATTTTTTGAGATCTCAAGCTCACTTCTCACAAGCAAAAGTAATTTGTAATCAAAATTTTTCGTTTAGAAACACAGTGAAACAAAAGAGCTTCATGAAAGATGTGATTTTCATCTTGAATTTATTTTTTGTACCTTCTCTGATGCATCATGGTACGGTGAAAATTAGAAAATTATACCCTTTCTCTTACTTCAAAAAGAGTGCCATTTGCATAGAAAATGACTATGCCATCTAGATTAAGGGAGTGTTTGGCAATCTTTAAAAGTGCTTTTTAGAAGTACTTTTTCGTAAAATGAGACAAACTCCTTTATATATTTATTTCGTAAATCATAAAAGCACTTTTGAAATCATAATTTGGTTTCCATCCAAACACCCCCTTATTTATTGTTATTTTTATTTATTAATGTAAAAATAATAATTAAAATAAGAAATATTTTACAACTTTTCCAATAATACATCAAATCTGTTTAGTTTTATAATTTTGATTTTAACATTTTTCTTAAAATTATCACATCATACACATATAATATATATGATAAAATTCATATCTTTTCAATCATTTTATATCTAAATCTACTTTTTCATTAATCATCCAAATAAGTTTTTGTTTCTAATTAAACTAACTTTTTTACAAAAATCAATCCAAACACAAATCACATAATATTACCTGAATTTTACCTAATTTGACTTTTGCAAAAGTCATGTTGAAAAAAGCAACTTCTATTCCCTCTGTTGGTGTGAACATGGATGTTCCCATGGACATCCATAAATTATGAGGCACTTTTTATATTCCTTCCAATTATTAAACCTTTGGCAATGTATCTATATGCAGCTTCTGCCAAATGCACGCCATCCCAGCTTATGAATTTGGAAGGATCCTCACAAGCAATCACTCCAGGATCCCCACGTGAGGCTGAACCATTGAAATTATACGGACCTCCACTTCCACAGCAAGCTCTGTCGACACCTGCAAAACCAGTAATTTATTGCATAAGATTTGAACAAATCTTAGTACCAGTTGCAGAATTGCCAGTGCAGTGATGTATCCTTCAAGTAATATTGAAAAAAGGTACTGTGACAGCATAATCTGGCATGAGGATGAAGCCCTCGAAGTCGATTTAGTTCAGATTGGAGCTTCTTTGTCAAGTATTGTGTAATTTCTGTTAAGTTATTTCTCATTATATTTCGGTTAGGCATTCAGTTGTATATCTCTCCGGACTCTTGTGTATATATACCCATTTATCATTAATGAAAGGCATCTTATCATTTTCCATTGAAATGATAAATGGGTAAGATGCCTTTCATTAATGATAAATGGGTATATATACACAAGAGTCCGGAGAGATATACAACTGAATGCCTAACCGAAATATAATGAGAAATAACTTAACAGAAATTACACAATACTTGACACTTCTCGTTGTAGAATTCAGCTAACTTGTTTAGCCACTTAAGTTAAGTAGAATGATGCATTGCATCCAATCGGGAAATTTCCAGGTACCACGAGCGTTTGAGCACCTAGATCAATCAGTTCCTGCAAGCACAAATCCAACTGAGCTCATCCATGAAAAATTTTCAAGACAGACTAGACTTGGTGCATATAATATAAAGGATGTCATAAAAATACTCTGTCCAAAAAGAATTTTGGAGAGGGACAATGATACAGCCATAACTAGATTTCGGAGTCAATTTAGTTATAACTAAAAAAATATTAATCCACAAGCTCATAAAACATTTCTGTATAAGCCACACATATTCAGACAAAATATAATTTTAAAACATAAATCCGATAGACATATATTTTTTCCTTAATTTCTAAACCCAAAAATCATGGTGTTGGGCTTAACAAAGGATGAAAAAACATATAAAATCCAACTCGGTCAACTTGTCCAAAACCCTCCATTGACAAAAGGATTACTTCATTACTTCGCCAATTTAACCAATCAACACAATTTGGATCTTAGTACTATGCTAATCATTAGTTAACGTATAAGTTTGATAGCTAAACTTTTATTTTAACCTACCTTTATTCAACATAAGAATTATTTAAATGTTTATAAAACTCTTAAATTCTTCAAAACAATTTTAGCCAATATCAGAAGTTAGTAAAACTATAGCTTTAACTCCACACAAAGTTTTATTTTGCTTGCTTAATTTTATAAAATGTTTTTTTATTTATTTTTCTTGCTTAATTTTATAAAATGTTTTTTTTAGTCTTTACCTTAAAATTTTGGACGTTGAGAAATTATTCTCTAATAACTAAGACCAAAACAAAAGGTGAGAGTATTTTTATTACTGAGAGGATTATGAGCTGGCCGCAATTATCATTGCAAGCATTACTGATAAATTCTATGATGAGAGGGCCATCGGAACACCTCCTAGTGGGGCGACGGAAATAGGTGTCCCCGTTGGGGGGGTAAGAAGCAATGAAACGACACCGGTGGGTAGGAGCTGAAATACAAGTTTCCAGTATCAGCAATGAAGTCTTCGAAACTGAAGATGGAACTGTAGGAGGAAGCTTCTGTAATAATGCTGGGAATTAACGACAATAAGGCAACCACTGGGAGAGCGACTGCCTCTGTACTTTGTCGTCCTCATTGCAGAGAGCAGAACGGAGAAGATGAATCAGAAAAGAATCCATCATGGGAAGGATAAACAAAACCCTATGTTGGGGTACGTAACCCATTATATATATACATATCCTCAATCCAAGTGAAGCCGTAAAGAACCAGAGAAACTAAACAATACTGATATTATTGATGAAGGCCACATGGCTGGAATACAACACTCAGAATGATGGACCTTGTAACCACTATTTATACATAACAGGCCCAAGACTATCTACCGTAGGCCCAATTATAAGCCCAAAAACAATACACCTGACTCTAAGCCTCTCAACACTCCCCCTCAAGTTTGGGGTGCGAAGAGGTTCACAACCCCTAACTTGCTCAACATCCTATCATGATCTTGTTTACCTAGTCCTTTGGTAACTATGTCACCCTATTCCTCCTTACTCCTTACATGCTTAAGACTTATGACTTGTTGTTGTAGTTTCTCCCTAACAAAGTGTTAATCTATTTCTATATATTTAGTTCTCTCATGATACATATTTGCAATACAGATTGCATATTTACTATCACAAAATAACTGCACCAATCTTAAGTTGGTAATTCCAAGATCTTCCAATAGCCTTTTAATCCACACAACCTCTGATACAACACTATCAATGCTCTATATTTTGCCTTTGTGGATGACTTAGAGACTGTGTTCTGCTTCTTTGATTTCTAGGATATTGGTGATCCTCCAAATTTGACTACATATCCGGTTACAAACCTTCTAGTATTTGGACACGTTCCCCAATCCACATCGACTAACATTCCAAGTGAATATCCTGATTCGCTGCAAGTTTGATCCCAAGTCCTGGACAGCCCTTGACATATCTAACCACTCTCACTGCTGCCCTATAATGTGACTTCCTTCGAGCATTCATGAATTGGCTAAGTGCCATGCACAACAAAGCTTATATCAAGCCTAGTCACAGTGAGATATGATAATTTACCTATTAGTTGTCTGTATGTGCTTGGATCATTCATTAGAGGGTCTTCCTTCCCATTTTTCGGTTTGCTGCCGAGTCTCACATTCTGCTCAAGAGGTATACCA